TTTTAAAAAAATTGGTGAAATCAAATCAGCTCTGTGCCTGAGTTTATAGTATTATTGCAGTGTCAATTTCCTGGTTTTGACAATGTACTATAGTTATAAGTTACTACCATTGGGGAAAGCTAGATGAAGGGTACATGGGAATGCTCTGTACTGCTGTTGCACATTCTCGTGACCCTTAAACTATTTTTAAAGGTTATAATAAAAAAGGAAGTACCATGAGTTGTCAAGGATCTGGAACAACTGGAACTCTTATACACTGCTGGTGGGAATATAAATGGGAATAACCACTTTGAAGAACTATTTGTTCAGCTTTAACAGTACCATATACATACCCTATGACCCAGCAATTCTACTTTTAGAATATTTGCATGTACCAGCAGATATACAAGAAGGTTTATAGCAGCACTATTCAAATAACGGTTCATATTTTAATTGTGTTTGTTTTGAGTGTATACTTTAATACTGATGTTTAGTATTTAAAAACTCTAAAAATATCCTGGTTAATTTATCTCAGTATTGACTTACATATTCCAGATGGAAGAATATTAAAGGTTAAATGGTTGTAAAATAATTCTTAATACCAGTTGAATCACTTGACTCTGTTTCTTTATTTTTCTTTTGGGGGCAAAATTAAACAATTTTGCTTCCCACTTGTATGCTTTTAAAAGACAAAATATGTCATTGACCACATCTATACCCTATAAATAATACCTCTATTATTGCAAATTAGACTGCATTACAATTATTTATATGTCTATTGTCTTATAGTTGGTGGTCTCCTTTAGTACAGAGACCAGATATTTTTTCTTCTTTTATATTCCCAGTCTAGCTTAGAATTTGGGATGCGTAACAATTTAATAAGCATGCTTATTAAACCCATTCAACTCTTCATTAGTGAATAGATACCAAAGTGCTTTGAAGTTCTCTACAGGTTTTTTTTTGGGGGGGGTTTGTGGGTTTTTTAACCTACATAGTTTATACCATTCATTCTATATGCTTGATCCTTTTGCTGGTGTGGAATACATGTAAATAACTGGGGTAATTTTCAGGCCACATTTGCCCATAAACCCTTAAATATGTCCATTAATTAAAGAAAGCACAGTTTGTTCTCTGTAATAAGTATGTACTATTAGAGAAGTATAAAGAAGAAAATAATTAATGCAATCCTAGTGACCGGAGATAACCATTAACACTGTGTGTATGTATGTTTTGTTTTTTAATGTAGTTGCCATTATAATTAATAAGATTCTATATCCTGTTTTTTTCCACACAGCATAATATTGCACTTTTGTTTTGTTTTGTTTTTTAAATTGGGGAATTGGGGGAGGGGACAAGCCAAGTTATTGTTCTTCAATCTTAGCTGTGGAGGGCACCAGTCACCATCTGGCTGCCCATTGGCAGCTCGTGGCCTCTAAGCTCAAGGTGCTGTGTTCAATCTTCGTTTTGGGCGTACCCACCATCCCATGCGGGAGTCAAACCAGCAGACTTGTTGTTAAGAACGCAAGCTCTATCCACTGAGTCATCCGGGCGGCAGCTCAGCTCAAGGTGCCAAGTTCAGTCTTAGTTGTGGGTGGGCAAAGCCCACCATCGAACAGCAGTCATGTTGTTAGGAGCAGGTGCTCTCACCAGCTGAGCCGTTCTGCCACCTGTTGGCAGTTCAGCGGCTGCTCAGCTCGGGCAGAGCATCACTGGCCCATGTGGGAATCGAACCGGCAGCCCTGTTGCTCAGAGCTCACACTCTTAAGCTAACTCTCAACTAACTAACTGAGCCACTCGGCCAGCCCATATTTTTTGTTTTCAACCTTATGTTCTTATAAGGCTTGCTGTAGAAAGGCATTTTGTGAAGATTTTTGAGAGCGTATTATATTCCAGGGGTTTTGTCACTCTAAGCTGCCAACAGTAAATATACTATGTAGTAATCCAGTGGAATATTATGCAGCTGTCAAGTATCAATTTTACGAAGAAATTTGATGGAATGCTCAATATATAAACCGTGTACATAAATACTTGTCAGTGTAAAACTAAAAAATGTGTATGCTTAGTAAAAAGAAACCTACAGGAAATGTACCATGATTAGAATGGTTGTTGTTTCTGGGAAGTGGAACTGAGAATTTTTTTTCTTTAAACTTGTTTATATTTAAAAAAACATTATATATATATATATATATATATATATATATACACATATATATATATGTAGATGTAGATATGTAGATATATGGTTTTTCCAAATTAAATTTTTATTTATATCAAAGTAATATGTTTACATATTTCAAAAACATAATTTTGCAAACCTTAAGATAAAAACCATTCCCTTTACCAACCCCTTCCTACCCATAATTTCTACTCTTTGCAAGTAACCAATATCAACTGTTAGGAATTCTGGTATTTACTTACATATATATCCTTTTTACAATCTAAGGTGGTAATTTACATACATGCACACACACTTCTCATTCATTTCCTCAGTATATATTTTTTATAATATCTCCTAAATCAATTTGGAATGTTTTGTTTATTCTGACTGTGTAAACATTCACACTTAAGCCATTTGAAATACTATGATTAGTTTTCCTTTTTTGTATACCTGTTTGTTTTTGTTTTTACCACTTGCTTAGTTTTCTATGAAGCTATCACTCATTCCCAAATTCTCCTACAGAAATATAAATTCTTATATTCTAACACAGCAAGTTTTCTATCAGTTTTGGATTATCTTTTGTTTTGTTTTGTTTTTCCTTGAACACATCTTTTCTGGAGCTCTCTGTCTTCTCAATCCTATTTAGTTACCTTAGTACCTTGCATCTATCTGACTTCTCTCTTTACCTTCATTAGGTTATATTATAGTTGCATATCAGTCACCCCTACTGCACTCAGCTCCGTGGGTACTCTCCTTCATTTTGATGTACTCAGTGCTCATAAAAGCATCGAACACAATATAGACTTTTGAATTATACATAAATTTTCTCCATTTACTCAGAATTTTGTAAATACCTTGGATACGTTATAAACATGTGGTTTTCTTAATTATTTTTATTCCTAAATCAGACTATTTTATTTTCTAGCAATAAGATTGTTCCTGGGCATATAAATATTCAGCCTGACTCTTTAGACATGTCTTGTTTTCTTCAGTAAGTGAAAAATGAATTCTCTGAATTCCTGATTGTTCAAAAAGCTGCCTTAGGATTACAGTCATATCATAATTAGAATATCTGTGAAACAGTCATTACTAAAGCATTTATTCTTTATTTTTTCATTTTTAGAGGGCGATTGTTTATCATTTCCACCAAAGCGGGATCTCTTGGAATTAATCTGGTAGCTGCTAATCGAGTGATTATATTCGATGCTTCTTGGAATCCATCTTATGACATCCAGAGTATATTCAGAGTTTATCGCTTTGGACAAACTAAACCTGTGTATGTATACAGGTTCTTAGCTCAGGTGGGTTTTTAATTTATAGCCTCATTCTCCTTTTCATATTGAAAGGTTGGGTGAAACTGATAATATGTTTGGAGTGCAGAACAAAAGTTGAAAACATCATTTCTATACATAAAGCAGCAGAAGCCCATTTTGGCCTCTCTTGATTTTCTGTTTTGTAGGTCGTCTATATCTATGTCAACTTTCTCAGATTTAGATGGATTTGCATGGGTAAACAGATTATGCATTTTCTTGCTAGTTCAGGAAAGTTAAACATTTATAGTTCTTTCACTTAGCATACATAGAAAAGCCAATAACTAAATCTAACTTGCTTATAGATGTAAAGGTCAAATGGTCATTGTTTTTAGTGGCCAGTAGACAGTCTCTTAATTTGAAGAATGTGGGTAAATTAGAAGAAAAAGTTTTTATGTTAACAAAGAATAGATAATACTTTCTAGGTGAGAAGGTTAAAGTCATTACATTTAAATATAAATTCAGGTATTAAACACTCAATTTTAAGAAAAAATAGTGAAATCAAAGAGGTGGTTGTAGTTCAGGGTAATACAGGTTTATAGAATCAAGTTTCTCTTTTAACTGGTACATCTGCTTTGGGAGCAGATGCTACCCTCTCCACCTGCCTATAAATCTGGGCTTCTCTACCAGAGACTGCAGTTTATTGGTAGATACTTGCTCATTTGATCTTCTTTAGTACATGATATAATTGATAAGCCACAATGTAAACTCTTTCCTGTTATTTAAATTAAGAGTTTCTTTATATTCCAGTTTAGAATGCCAAATATGTAATAGATATGGCATTTTAGTTATATTAATTTTCTGTCCTGAAATTATACAAAGACTTGATATAAAGGCAATTTACAGTGATTGCTGTGAGCTTATTGTATTCCACTGAAAAAGAATTAAGCTGCATTTTTACTTTAATAAGCCCCTAAAACCTTCTTTCATGTACTCCTTTTTTTCTGTTTACCTTGGTATCTGACTGCTCTCCTACTTCCTCCACCAAGTTCAGAAATACATAAAGCAACACATACATCATATTAGTAAGATAATAGAGAATGATTTTATCAAGGTAAACTATGCTGAACAGATGAAATCCTTTATGAATTAGTAGCATTGTTAATAAAATTTGCTTTATTGTAGTATATTACTATGAAGTTTTGCCATTTCGTATTACCTAATAACTATTTCTACTTGATTAAGTTTCATGTTTACAAAATTTATTTATTTGTATATTGTTACTTCTTTTTACAAAGGGAACCATGGAAGATAAGATTTATGATCGGCAAGTAACTAAGCAGTCACTGTCTTTTAGAGTTGTTGATCAGCAGCAGGTCGAGCGTCATTTTACCATGAATGAGCTTACTGAACTTTATACCTTTGAGCCAGACTTATTAGATGACCCTAATTCAGAAAAAAAGAAGAAAAGGGATACTCCCATGCTGCCAAAGGTAAACATCTTTAGATTATTCGCTTCAAAAAAGTGAACATGGACCACGGAAATTTTATTACTACTGTAAAAGTTAGTCACCTGACTAAGGATATACTTCAGAGTTTTTCAAAGAGAATAAAATTGTATTTAAGTGAAAAAGTGCTTGGTCAGTTTTCCACATAACACCACAAAAAGATAGTGTAATCTGAAATACATATTTTATGCAAAGTAAAATGTTCAGCCCTGCAGAAAAACGAATCTGGGTAGAAACCTTAAAGGAAATAGCATGGCTTTGTTTTAATAACCTCCTGTAGAGGGCACATATAATTTTAATAATTGCATATGAAATTTAACTGTCTCTTAACATTCTTTGCTGTCATATAGCAATAGAGAATCAGCAAATGAATGTCTCTTACTTGATATTTTTCACTGTCATAAAGCAAGCAAGACTTGGAAAAGGACCTTAGAGGTAATCTAGTCAAGCCTTCTCATTTTACAGATGGGGAAACGTAGGGTCAGAGACATTCAGTGACTTGCCCACAATGTTCAGCTAATAAGTGGCAGAACCAGGACTAATGTCTCTATCTTGTCTTCTGGTCCATTGTTCTTGGATAAGAAAACATTGTTGAACGTTATAGAAATTTAATATGATGGTAGATATTTTGACCCTTATGAACATAAGGGAAAAACATATGTTCTCTGATCTAAACAAGGATTTTATATATTTACACCGATTCTAGTTATGTAAAAAGCCATTTTGGGAGGTATTGTTGGGGGAGTGCTTTTCCTGTTGTCTTGGTTTCAAATTCAAGCACTTAATGTTCCATATATCTATTAAGAGAATTGGGAAAGCATCTATCAGGTTATGGTGTCACTCTACCAAAGTCACTTTAGTCATTTGTAAAAATACTCAAAAGTATATTAGTTTTTAATATGGTTGGACACATTTAAAGTAAAAGGTAATAGGAATAATTACTAATGCTAATATAAATCATTGATTTCTCAAATTAATTTTTGATGTACACATACATGTCAATTAAAGTAACATCATTAAGCATTTAGAATTTTTTTAAATGTCCTTTGTCTTATAAGCAAATATTTGGTTTTTGTAATCATTGAACTTTTCTTCCATTTAAAGTTCACTAATAGAGCATTTAGGAAAGAGTTTCTGTGACAACCTCTATCAAATCCCTTTGATAATAATGGCTTAGGTGCCACTTGGGGGTTTAAATCTACCATTTGTATATTACATTTAAAATACTTTTAAAAAAAGAATCATTTCAGTTTCCGTGTTATGAAGCATTAAATTGATAATGATTTGGGTTTTTTCTTAATTATATTATTACAAAATGTGAGTAGGATTCTTGAGTAGTCTTTGGAAAATTTTCTGTAGACAGATTTGTTTGTATCCTTTAAAAGTACACAAGCACAAATGGAATCATACCATACGTACTCTTATACAACACGCTCTTTTCACCTGGATGTGTCTTGAACATCTTTCCAAATTGGTATATATACCTCTACCTTTTTAAAAACAACTGCATAGTTTTCACTTACCTTGTTTTGTTTAACTGTTTTATCGCCAACATCTTTCCTGTCAGTTACTTAATTTTGTATGGCAAGAAGTATTCTTTTAAGGATTTGCACATGTTTATGTTTATAATTTTAATGATAGTGAAGTCCTTTTTCAATTTGAGCATGATTTTATATCTAATTAGCATCTTTCCTAAAATTACACTTAACTTTAAACTTTAACTGTTGTGAGACGTAGCCCATGATTAGTAATATTTCTGCTAGGATGTAAACATTCCAGTTTGAAAAGGAGTAATTGCTTTGAAGTCATTCATTATATGGTAAATTTCTGATTGTACAAAATCTGTTTAATTTGATAAACATTAGTTAATTATTTGCTGACTTTGAGGTGTACTGTGATGGTAAATTAAGAAGAACAAGACATTGTCTATGCTTTAAAGAAGATAAAATCAGCAGGAAAGAAATGCTATTTAATTTTTATAGGACATTTGGAAAGAAACCATCTGTTTTATAACTTGGCACTCTGAGTCATCAAAGGTGTCATGCTTTTTCATTTGTAGACTTTACTTACTATTTTTTTATTTTGGTGCTCTTACCCTTTGCCCAAGAACAAAGAGGAACAGGGATATTAAATGCTACATTAGCACAAAATGCTTCAACTCTCCTACAGTGCTTCCTAGAAGGAAAACACTAGAGGACTTATTGATTTCTTACTGGGTTTCTTACTCTGTGCTAAACAATTTATGCAGAATACCTTCCTTAAGCCAGCAGCAACTGCAAAGCCAATAATGGTGTTTTCATTTTCGAGATAAAGAAATTAAGGCATGGAAAGGTTGTGTAATTTAGCTAAGTTTACACACCTAATTAGTGATGAAGCTCACCTTCGAACCAAGTCTGCCAGACTTGAAAGCATGTACTCTGAATCATTACACTTTATTGCCCCCCAAATGGAGATTAGAAAGTTAATTCCAAGTGTAAGAAACAAGACAGAGGACCTGGGGTTCCTAGAATTGAGTGGCATTTAGAATGCTTTATTTTATTTTAAATAAAGCTGGATTTTAAAATGTAGAATGATTTCACAGACAATACCATTGTGTGATAAAACTGTTAAGATTATATAATAGAACCAGTTCAGCTCATGGCTTGTGAAGTTGTAAATTCCTCAAATTTATAGAAAGCCATAAAGTTTACAAAGGTCTTTCTCATACGTATTTATTATCTGAAGAAACTGAAGCTTAGAGAGTTTGTGATTACCCACGGGTACATGGCCAATAATAAGTGTTTCAGCTAGAACTTAACCCAGTAATTTTCAAATTGTATTCCAAGGAGCCCCCAGGAGATCTGAAGAGGTGCTCCAGGGCAGCCATGTGGCTAAGTGGGTAAGGAAAGTCCAGATAGGCAGTACTCCAAGCCCCGCATCCAATTTCCATCAGAGTCCTGCTCCTTTTATCTCTTGTATATATTGTGCTGCAATATAAGATTTAATTTAAAGAGAGTATGTCATTGCCTTTTAAGAAATGTTTTTAGAGCATTGTACTATATATGCCATGATGTCTTTTTAACTATCACAGTAGCTACAATCTATCAGGGATATAAAAGGGAATGCAATAAGGTATATAGGAGATTTACTTGAAGGAGATGATAATCCACTTGGGGAGAGAAAAGTAACATTCTTAAACACCAAAGAATGAAGATACTGAATGTTTTTTCTATGGTACAATAGCTCTCCCCAACCTATCCTCCCCCATCTGCAGTTTTACTTTCCACAATTTCATTTACCTACAGTCAACTGTGATCCAAAAATATTGAATTTCCCCAACCATCAACATTGTCACTGTCATGGCCCGATGATCCACAATCACCCAAAGTAGATGACTTTCCTTCTGACGTATTGTCAGAAGGTCAGTATAACCTAACACTACATCACAGAGTCTGTCATTCACCTCTCTTCATCTTATCATATAGTCATTTTATCATCTCACATCATCATAAGAAGGGTAAGTGCAATAAAATAAGATATTTTGAGAGAGACCACAGTCACATATCTTTTATTATAGTAAATTGGTATAATTGTTCTATTTTATTACTAGTTATTCTTGTTAATCTTACTATTCCTAGTTTATAAAATAAACTTTCTCATGGCCATGTATGTATAGGAAAAAGCATAGTATATATAGGATTCGGTACTGTCTGCAGTTTTAGGCATCCACTAGGGATCTTGAAATGTATCGCCTGTGGATAAGGGGGGAATACTGTATATGGTTCAAAATGGAGGATAGAGCATTGAGGTACAATGTTTTGTACCAACAAGTTTTGGTGGAAAAAGTCAGACTGATTGGCCCACAAAGGGTGGTTAGTATTTAATTGTGTTAAGGGAAGAATGAGGTGTGAATGCAGAATGAAACAGTTTGGGCAAGGGGAAAGGTAAAAATTTATGGACCAGGTTCAAGGTGTGATGAATAAATTGGCCAGATGAAGAGTTGAAATTGGATGGGTAAGTTAGGGCCAGCTTATGGAGAGCTATGAAAGGTAAATGGAGACATTTGAAATTAAAATAGTATTCATTATAAGTTCATGAATGGTCCTATTGCATGATGAATGTGAACTTTGGGAAAATTAGCCTGGCAGTAAAATGGAGGATGAGGACATATAATAGGGTAATGATTGTGGAGTGAATCAGACAGTTCAAGAAAATAAATAATAGAACTCAATAACTGATAATAGAATATAGCTTTTAATCTTTAGGTAGTAAAATATCTATTTATTTTTTAAAGATTTTTATTGGGGAATTGGGGGATGGGAACAGCGCTGGGGAATTGGGGGAAGGGAAACAGACAAGTTGCTGTCTTTTTGTTCTTCAGTCTAGTTGTGGAGGACGTTGCTTCACTGGCCCAAGTGGGCACCATCATTGCACTCTTCCCAGGTGAGGCAGATCAGTCGCCGGCTTCTGGATGGCCACTCATGGCGGCTGCTGGCTGCTCATGCTGGCTGCTGGCTACACACAGTAGCCCATAGCAACCCACTGCAGCAGGGGCTGCAGCCTACGCCATTGCTGGCGACTCATGGCAGCCCAGCTCCAGGTCGAGCTGTTGTTCAGCATCTTAGCTGTAGAGGGCAGTGTCACTGGCCCTCATATGTGGGATCCAAACCGGGGCCCTCTGGCATCCCAAGCCAGTTCTTAACCAACGCGCCACTCGGCCGGCCCTAGGTAGTAAAATATTTAAATAATGAAGCTTAATTTTTTTAAAAGATTTTATTGGGGAATTGGGGGACGGAACGGCGTTGGGGAATCGGGGAAGGGGAACAGACAAGTTGCTGTCCTTTTGTTCTTCAGTCTGGTTGTGGAGGACGTCGCTTTACTGGCCCATGTTTGTATTGTGATCATTACGCTCTTCTTGGCTGAGGCAGATTGGTATCCGGCCATTGGACAGCCACTCACGGTGGCTCACGGCAACTTACACCAGCTGCCAGCCGCTCACACTGGCT